TCTTCACCAAACAGGACTATGTCATCTGCGTATTCTAAGTCGATAAGTGGACCTCCTGGAAGTAGATCAATACCCGAGAACTCAGTCGATGAGAAAGTTATTTCCATCAGTAGATCTATGATGAAGTTAAACAAAAATGGGGAAAGTGGACAGCCTTGACGGACACCACTTGAGGTTGCAAAAGTAGATGACAGTTCGCCATAAGCTCTGACTCGACTAGTAGTGTTCGAGTAAAGAGCCTTTACAAGGTTTATGTACTTCTGAGGTACGCCTTTCAATGACAGACACTGCCACAGAATCTCGCGGTCTACCGAGTCAAATGCTGCTTTTAAGTCAAGAAAGACCACCATTGTCGGACGCCGATAAGTATGCCTGTGTTCTAGAATCTGACGAATGGTGAATATGTGGTCGATGCAGCCACGACCAGGTCTAAAGCCAGCTTGGTTCTCTCGTGTTTGCAGTTCACGAGTATTAGTTAAGCGTCTGATAATTATCGAGGCTAGTATTTTAGATATTATATTAATTAAACTAATCCCTCTGTGGTTGTCACAGGATGATTTTGACCCTTTCTTATATATTGGGATGATAAGTGATTGCGACCAGTCAGATGGGTTAAAGTCTAATTCCCAGATCTTAGCTAAAATATTAGTCAACCTAATCGCTAAAATTGGTCCACCATCCTTAAAGACCTATGGAGCCAATCCATCTGAACCAGCTGCCCTTCCTCGTTTCAGATCAACTATAGCCTTTTGAACTTCAGCAAGAGTTGGGGGACCTACTTCAATGTTCCATTCACACTGTCTGGGAATGAAGGGTAGTTGTAGAGTAGCTGAAGGCCATCTGAACTGTTCTCTGAAATGTTCCGCCCATCGTTCTAAACGCCTGGACTGGGAGCAGATGAGTGTGTCGTCTTTTTCCGATATAATCTCACTTACACTTGACTTATTAATTCCAGTTTCTTTTATTAGTCTGTAAAGCTGTCTTGTGTTCCCTATAGTCGCCGCCTTTTCCATCTCTTTTGCTTTCGTTGCCCACCACTACTCACGGTCATTTCTTAGACTTTTTCTTAACCTAGATCTGATTTGTTGTCGCTCTTCCTCATGTGCGGAACCTGAAGGGACGAGTTTGCGAGAATCCATCAGTGTGATAGACTTTGAAGAAATCCACTGGTTCCTTGCAACTCTGCGGTTTAAGTCGTTAATAGATGTAACTGCTGCTTCCACAGCTGCTTGTATATCTTTCCAAGCAACATCTGGGTCAACCTCGTCTTTTGAACTACCTAATCGTGACCTCAGTTGTTCCTGGAACCTACTTTTGGTTTCCTCGTTACTCAGTTCGGTTCTAATGGGTCTTTTTACTGTGGCGTTTTTGCGTCCAGTGAGGCGCAAGCAGATGCGTGCCCGTATTAGGGCGTGGTCGGAGTCCAAGCAGGTACTCCAGAATGAGCGACAATCTTCTACCGATCCTCTCCAACGATGACTGATGGCAATATGGTCTATTTGAGTCCATCGTTGGTTTGGTGCAGGCGGTCGCCACGTTAGACGATGTCTCTCCTTATGCTTAAAATTTGTGTTTGCTAAAAATAAGCCATTGTCTGAGCACAGTTGCAGCAGACGGTCACCATTATCTGTTCGCTGTGCTGGAATGCTAAAATATCCACCTAAATGCCTTTCTGTTTGGTTTAAGCTACCTATCTGAGCATTAAAATCACCTGCTACGAGTACTATGTCTGAGCGTTTAGCTTTCTGAAGAAGTTCGGACAGCTTTCTGTAGAATTCATCTTTCACATCATCTGAGCTGCAGTCAGTGGGAGCATAGGCAGAAACGACGAAAAGGCAACGACGTGTGTCCCTATCCTTCCGAGTTCTTACGGAGCCGTTTAGCCGAACAGCACATAGACGACTGTTGACGGGGATCCACTCTAGCAGTGCTTGTTCCGCCCTCATGCTTAGTGCTGTGCCTACACCTGCCAGTCCACGAGAACTGGCCATCGGGTCACCAGATACACGGAGTGTGTATCTCGTTGGCTCACCGTTTTGCCGAGGTGAGGTCAAGTGAATGACCACACTGGGATCCTGTATGCGTGTTTCGGAGACACAGCATACATCAATGGAAAGAGACTCTAGGGTTTTAGCCAAGGAAGCCTGCTGACCGATTTGACATAGAGTGCGTACGTTGAAAGCTCCAATGTGTAGTTTGGAGCGAGGTTTCAGTAGACCTGGGACAGAGTTTTGAGCACTAGAATCGTTGGCTATGGTGACACTTGAGGAGGAAGCCGAAGGAGGAAGTTTAGAGTTGAAAGTCGATGTAGGAGGAATAATAGGAATTGAAGAGGAAGGTTGATTATGAATACAGTGGTCTCGAGTGCTGTTAGAGGTATGAGGGCGGTTATCACTTCCCGGTTGCCCACACCGTGGAAGGGTTCTTCTGGAGGTACCTGAAAAGGAAATTGGATTAGAGGTGGTCTCAGTGACCTGAGAGCGTGACCGCAGTGCCCAAGGGACAACTGCTTGAGGCCGGTTGCGCACGCCCTTTTCGTGGGAGGTTTTTGACGTGTTAGCTCCGTTCTTCAAAGGGCCTTACCGCCGGAGACGAAATCCGTGAGGTAAGGTGAGGTGCGCATTTTTAGGGTCAACCTTTTCTAACCCCACCCCTCCTTGTGGGAAGGCAGCATAGCTGTCATGCTGGTTGTCTGAAGGAAACACCTTACTGTTGTCACACCTCTGTACAGTCAGCAGTACGACTTCGCCTTCGGACCTTGGGTTTGTTGCTTTTAGTCTTACCGCTCTTCAACCGACCTGTCTGACATGGTAGGACCTTGAGGAACGGCTGTTCCAGCCAGTATAGCTCGGTTGCTTCATCACGATAGGCAAGCCCGACCACCACGTCAAAGTAGCAACGACGGTCGAGCACCGAGGTCATGTACCGTCGAAGGATGTCGAAGGATGCTTATCTATCAGAGCTGTTCACATCGAAATGGCCTACTCTTTAGATACAGATTCATTTTTATGTGCATTATCAAGATTTATTGCCAGAAGAGGATGCCCAGAGCATATTTTTAGTGATAACGGCACAAACTTCCGAGGTGCAGACGCTAGTTTGAGACAGATTATACGTTCCTGGAATACAAATAAAATAGAAAACCACCTTAAAGAACGAGAATGTGAGTGGCGTTTCAACCCACTTAGGGCAAGTCATCGAGGTGGTGTGTGGAAACGCATCATAAGATCAATTAGAAGAATCTTAAAAGTGCTTTTATTCCAAAACGTGTTGACCGATGAAACTCTGCAAACCTTCTTAACTGAGGCGGAACGGATACTGAATGACAGACCTCTGGTTAAGATGACAGATGACCCTGGTATGCTAGAAGCTCTTACTCCGAACAAGTTGTTGATTCATAAAAAATTATCATTCGACGATGCTTCGGTGGATAAGACATTATTATACAACAAAAGATGGAAAGAAGCTCAGAGACTAACCACCGCATTCTGGAATAGATGAATAAAAGAATATTTACCAACTCTCCAAACAAGAGACAAATGGTTGGACGTACACAAGAACTTACAACCGGGTGACTTAGTCCTTGTTAGTAACGTCGAAATGAATAGAGGTCTATGGCCTAAGGCTATTGTCGAGCAAGTAAGCTATTGCCCGGACGGACGAGTCCGTACGGCAAAGTTGAGAACTTCAAACGAAGAAATCATCAGAGATGTGCAAAGCCTATGTCTACTAGAAGCCGGTTGTCTGAGGGCGACAACGACCCTGGACAATGGACGTGGTGCGCGTTTCGGGGGGAGTGTAAAATGTGATCGATAGACGAACCCACCAATAATAAAGGGAAACGCCCACTACCCCATTAACTCCTTTTGACTTTGTACAATTGAATCTCTTTATTAACCAATGACAGTTTGATGTTTATTGTAAAACAATATTTACTTTGTTGATTCATTTTCCCTATTCTCTGGCTAATGTTTGATATGTTATTTGTGTCTGTTTTTTCCCTGTATTAATAGACCGTACTTGTTTGTTTGTACACTAACGATGTTAATTAATGTTTTCGTAAAACAGATAAAGTTTATCTAACCAAATAGCTTACTTGTTCTGACTTTGGTTAAACTAAGACTCTGTATTCGACAGTCTAGAGAATAGCTCAGAATTAAACCTGTAGGAAATTGCTTTCTACACTAACTTTAATCTATTGTATCCGGATGCTTTTCTCTTTTCCTTTTGTTGTCGTTCTTGTTGTTGTTGTTGTCGTTGATCATTTTATTGTTTATTGAATGAATTCATATTCACTTTTCTTTTTTTCTTTTTAAATTAATGATCTCTTTATTCAATTTTATAGTTTTTACATTTTTTTTATTTGAAATCTATTTCAATATTTTCCATGAACTAGAAAGGTAGGCCCAGGACAGAGTAGGTTGGAGGATGCTGGTCGGCGGCCTATGCTCCATTGGGAGTAACAGGTGTAAGTAAGTAAGTAAGTAAGTATGTAGGTAATTTTCATAATACCATAACTGAATAAAACGAAATGGATGAAAAAGAAGAATGTTTCCTTTAATAGTTAAATATGATAATGATAAAAAATTTCACAAATGGAATGATTTTTTTTATTAAAAAAATAGGTGAATAAAATTTCGGGGGGGGGAGCGGGGCGGTTTAAGTAAATGGCTTTATAAAAATACAATGGTATATAGAACAAAATTGAATCATACATTTTAGAAAAAATAAATAACTGTAAAACAATTACTCAGGATAAGGTTAGATAGAAAGTATCGATGGTCAGTCTACACTTCTCCTCCTTCTCATCGTCTACGAGGTGTAACAGGCATAAGTAAGTAATGTTTTAAGTGAATTAGAATCCCTCAACAAAGAGATCATATCATGTACAAGAAGTAATAAATGCTGTTAAGCATCACATGTTTATGTACATAAAGAAATTCTTAAGTAGATTAGATTTCTTTTAGCAAAAAGAAATATACATCAAACTAGTTTGTAACTTATAAAATCATATAATGATTTGATAAATTTGGTAATAGATTTGTTTGTAATGTTGATGAATTTAAATTATTCGATAATATATTCATATTCATAGGAAATGTTTCAACATATTCATCATCATTGCCATCATCATGTTGATCTTCATTCATTTTTTTCGTATTATCATTTATACTACTAACATTATACTTAGTAGCATAATTAGTAGTAGCTAAATTGTGATGAGTGATTTTTTTCATATTTGATTGTTTTTTAAACCAATTCATTTTTAAATGATTTAATACTATTGATAAACGTTGTTTATTTAATAATAAATTCGATCCAGTAGTTGCTGCACGTGGTCTACTAATTGGATTTATAATACTTGAATTATTCACTGGTAATAATTCATTAATACTACTTAAATCTCTACTTAATTTTAAATTAGAAATCATATTCTGTGATGTTTGATAATCGATGGTACTTAAAGGACGAGGAGAATATTCCTGACGTTGTTGTGAATGATGAAGATAATGAGTTTGCATCATAGTTGATTGTTGTTGATGTTGGTGTTGTTGAAGATGATGAGGATAATGTACACGTGAATGATAGAAATATGATCTACGCATATTACTAACATCACTTGATGTTCTTGGTCTAACATTTGTACTACTAGTACTACTACTATTACTATTACTATTACTATTACCACCATGAATACTATTACCACAATTAAAAAATATAGATGAACCACTAGAAGTTGTTATCATCATAGGTGATAAACTACTACTCATACTATTACAAGTAGTATTAATACCATTACTATTATTATGAATATTATTATTATTATTACTATTATGAAACAAACTATTATGTGATCTAGTTGATGTTGATTGACTTTGATTAGAATAATGCAATGAAGTTAATGAAGATAATTGATTTTGTTTTCCAATAACATATGAAGATGAAGATGATAAGGAATATGGATTGAGTGGTTTTTCAAAGAATAATTGTGCAAATAGATCATTATTATCACGATGACTAATAATAATATTACTATTTGATATAGATGAAGATGATGATTGTTGTGGTTGTTGAATAGTTGGACATAATACTTTTTTGAATGATACTATTTCATTAAATAATTGAGATGATGTAAATATTAAATCTAATGGTGAACATGTAGAAAATGCTTTGATTCGATTATGTAATATAGATTGATTTCTAAGAATAACTGAATTCTTATTATCCTCTTTGATATTGTTATCACCTATAAGAGTATTGAAAATGAAAAGAATAATTAATTAATTAAACATATTCATAAAGAGATTTGGTAATGATTACCTTGAGGTAGTTGTTACTTACTTACGCTTGTTACTCCCAATGAAGCCATAGGGTGCCGATCAACATTCTCCAATCCACTCTGTCCTGAGCCTTCCTTTCCAGTTCTATCCAATTATTGTTCATTCTTCTCATGTCTGTCACCGTTTCTCTAAGTAATGTGTTGTTTGGTCTTTCTCTTCTTCTTTGGCCTTGAGTATTACAACTGGGGGCTTGCGTTGGTGACGTAGTTCGGTCCCTTCGTTAATGTGTGTCCTATCCACTTCCATCACTTCTTCCTGATTTCTTCCTCCACTAGGATCTCGTTTGTTCTCTCCCACAGTAGATTGTTGCTGATAATGTCTGGCCAACAAGTCCGAAGTATTTTGTGAAGACAACTGTTAATAAACACTTGTATCTTCTGGATGATGGCTTTCGTAGTTCTACAGGTTTCCATCCCATACAGTAGAGCTGTTGTGACATTTGTATTGAAAATTCTGACTGTCGTGTTGGTTGACAGTTGTTTTGAGTTCCAGATGTTCTCTAGTTGTAGATATGTTGCTCTTGCTTTGCCGATTCGTGCCTTCACATCTGCATCAGATCCACACTGTTCATCAATGATGCTGCCCAGATATGTAAAGGTTTTTACATCCTCCAAAGCTTCTCCGTCAAGTGTGCTGTATCGGAGAATCTTGCTTTTCTCTTTGTGTATGTTGAGACCTACTGCTGCTAGTTAAAGGTAGTCAATTCACTTTTACTGTTTACGCCTGTTACTCCTCGTGGAGGAGCATAGGCCACCCACCAGTACTCTCCATCCAACCTTGTCCTGAGCAATCCTTTCCAGCTCCTTCCAGTTGTTATTCATCTTTTTCATGTCTGCTTCAAATAATCGATGCAATGTCTCTCTTGGTCTTCCACTTTTTCGTTTCCCTTCAGGATTTCAAGTTAGTGCTTGCCTCGTGATGAAGTTTGGTGATTTCCGTAACGAATGTCCTATCCACTTCTAACATCTGTCATTGATAGTGTGGATGATTCCGCATTACTTTGACAAGTTTCGCTGACTGTTTATGCACAAAATTGGTTTCCTGGTTAACCGATTTCATTCATATTGTTGGTTGGTCACCAGTGTTCTCAAGGGTCATTGTCATTGGGACATTGTAAGGCATATCGCCATTGCAAACATTAATGAGTTTCACTGTCGTGTAAGCGGAATAGGTCAACTTTGACCTGTTCGTGCTGTGCACAAGTGATTAACGCGATCATTGATCGGAATAATTATTATACATGTGACGTGAATGTGTGTATGAATGGTGTGAATAGTCCACTATGGTGCTTGGTACCTATGTGGTCGCGCCACAGGACTGAGGTGTACTAAAGGTAGTCAACAGGAGACCCTAACCAAACTAGGTTTATTGTTGATTGATTCTCGTCAGCATATTTGTTATAACTTATGGCTTTGTGATCTATTAATGTATAACATAATGATGCCGCCAATTAGAGAAACAGTGATTTATCGACCGGACCAATGACGCATAAACCTGTACGAACAGTCTAGAGTCCTTATTGGTCCTTCTTCCTGTCTAGCCCTGCCTGTTAGAGACCAGGACACCAATTTCAGCCTTCTCGATATGAATCATGTATTTCAATCATACTAGGTTCATATACTAACCAAGCAGACCATATCAAACCATAAACTGGAAAATACGCACTGCTGAGGAGTCCCATACTAGGACGAAACGGCCGTCCAGTGCTTCCAGGTTTTGAATGGTGGTCTAGCTTCAAATGACTCATGATTTCAATCTGTGAAAATACACATTTGTACAAGATTTAACCAAAAGTGGTTGTGAATGTGGTAGACTGGGCATAACTTAGGAATGATAAATCGTATAATAATCATCTATGGGTCAAAATAAAGCTTATAATAAGAGGAATATGAATATGAATAATTTAGTTACTTAACAATTATACAATAAGAATATATGTATAGTATTAGTCCAGAAATAGATCCCAACAATTACCACCATTCATTATCCTTATCGGGATATAACAATATTGTAACCGTACACTTATGAAGACGAATACTGTTTGTTTTATTGTTAATTGTAATAAAATTTAAGTTATTACACTTGATCATTTCAATGATAATAGTTTGAAAAGATATCGGACTTGTCGACGGGAAATAAAAAATAATTCCTTAATCCTCTTCATGGTGCTTCAATCTGATTAGATGTGAATGCATAAAACAGATAGAAAAGCAATTAAGCGGTTTGCATTTTTATGTCTGTAAACAGTCATTCATTAGACTTATTTCTTGCTTATTCTTTTACTACCTCAACCACCACAGGATTTGAATCGACAATTGTATCTGTGTGTTAATGTGGTATGGTAACTTGAACTGATGTACTTACGTACGTATGTACGAAGTTCTACGTTGTTACTGACTGATTGAGACCTATTTCTGTCTTGAATAGATGAAATGTGATTAATAGTGGAATCCAAGATTTGCGTTTTGTCGCATCCAGGACTCATCACTTTGATTAGCCTGCATTCTAGAATTTATGTTTACAGTATGTCTTGAATCTATTCGTGATAGAGATCTTTCATATTTCTATAGCGTTTTAATTTTTATTTGACGTAGTATTAAGTGGTGTTTCAGCGGTTAAGGTGTTCTACTTCCACCCCACTCCCCATTTAAGTCACAAATGTAAAACCGTACTTCATCCACTTCTATTAGAGTAACTGGGCCTTGGTATTACTAACCCTCTTACACTTAAAGTTCGTCACGAAGTCAAGCACATGGATCTGGTACTTCGAAAATGAGATAATAATAAATGACTGACACCAACTTACATAAATTCATTTCCAAATAATGAGATGTAGGGTTGTCATTAATTTCTCTGAAAAAGGAAATGAAATCAATGAATGAATCAATGTTTAACAACATTATTGTGAATTATATTATTATGGTAAAATCTGACCAAACAATTAAAATATATCAGAATGGGTTTTGTGGATATTATTGTAATTTTAACGGTTAAGATCATGAGTCAATTGAAGTTAGACCACTATGGAAAACCTGGAAGCACTGAATGGCCGTTTCGTCCAATTGTGGGACTCCTCAAAAGTGCGTCTGCCTAGCAAGATTCGAACCCAGTACCTATCAGTCTCACGCACGAACGCTTTATGGTTCTCAGATTTTACTAAGACGTTCTGTAATTTATGTGTTCATATACATTCGACTGTTCCCACTTGTGTCCTCGTTCATTACAAAGTAGTTTATTTTTATTTCAACACAGATATTGGTACAAAGAGGCACCAAATACATATGCACCACACAAATCTCATTCGATACGTGTGAGGGCTGTGATACTGCCCGGGTGCCCAAACCAAAGCAGGTGGTTTTCTTAGGGGGCCATACCCCGAGCCTTCGGCCCGTAGGTTTGATCCACAAGGCAGTGGAACATCGTAAGGAGATGCAGTCCCATGATAGCCGGTGACCAACGATTGGTTCATACGCTGTTTGTTCCCTCACGATACTGGGGCCCATGTGCACCATTGGTTTGCGATCCGTTTAAAGTGCCGGACATTCACTTTTCGTCCTCTCATTTTTGTAAACAACACCCGTGGTGCCAGAAGGCAGTGAGTAGGACTTCCGTGGCAGAGGCTATATACGCGTGGCCATGTGAGAGCATTTGGAGAGGGAGAGCGGACTCTCCCCACTCTCGGCCGTACCAGGGCCATATCATAATCCCATTCATTTTGACTAATATAAGTATTAATGTCAGAAATCGTCTACTGATATTTAGTTATCTTAATTTTGTTTAGAATAGATCTTGACTACAGATAATGAAAAGTTAACTATTTTCTGCTTACCAATTACATAAGTCTGAATAATTGAGCTATCACTTAAGGATTCAATTACTCAACACCACATCACATATTTCTGTCTAGGCAACCTAATAGTAGCATATAACTTGAAACTTCATATATGGTTCAAAGCCAAATATATATTAAATCGGTTATGTTGTCGAATTACATAATACAAGTTCTAACACAGAAATTAATTGTGTGAACATGACTAAAAGAATGTTCTAAGAATATAACTAAACTAAATAAACAGCTGTCTACATAAAATACTTCGGTTACGTTGGCCAGACATTATCAGCAACAACTTATTGTGAGAGAGAACAAACCAGATTCTAGTGGAGGAAGAAATCATGAAGAAGAGCTGGAAGTGGATAGGACACACATTAAAGAAAGCACACGACTGCGTCACCAACGCAAGTCCCCAGTTGGAATACTCAAGGCCAAAGAAGAAGAGGAAGACCAAAGAACACATTACACCGAGAAATGGAGACAAACATGAGAAGAATGAACAAAGATTGGATAGAAGTGGAAAGGAAGGCTCAGGAAAGAGTGGATTGGAGAATGGTGGTCGGTGGTCTATGCTCCATTGGAAGTAACAGGCGTAAGTAAATAAACAAATAAATAAATAAGCTAAGATAGTCTCTTTCCATTCTTGAAACGACCAGTTTATGTGTTTCAGTACAGTCAAATTTCATTTATATCTTCTTTAATGGCCAAGTAATAACACTGTGATTTATGTATAAATAACGAATGTTGTAATCAACTGTTCAAACTTATGATTATGATTTCTCATAATAAGAAGTGGAAGCTCACTGAATAATCAATAAGCTGTACTTGAATAATTTAGGGAACTTTTGCTTCATGTAGGGATCAAACTTGTATTATCTAGTTTCACAAGTCTGAGATGATATCAATGAGTTATTCATGTTGTAATTAATTTCCTGTAGTATGAAAATATTTACAGTGAATCATCAATAATTGATTTGGAGGACAGCTCACAGATACATTCCAAGTGAGGACCGATGTCTGACAAAGCTACTCACTCTCATCCTTTCTCATTCTTCTGATGATTAACTGGATTATGAAGACCTCCATATCTTAGGGAAAGAACGGAATACAATGGACAGCTCGGAATCAACTAGACGATTTAGACTTCGTAAATGACCTGATCCTTCTACCTGTACACACCAACAAATGTAGTTGAAGGCAAACAGTGTAGTGGCAGCCTCAACATACACAAAGGAAAAATCAAGAACCTCAAATACAACACGGAGAACAACACAATCACACTTCATAGAGGAGCTCTAGAAGAGGTGGAAATAATTTTACGTAACTGGTCAGCATCATCGATGAACAAAGAGGATCTGATGAAGACGTAAAGGAAAGGATTAGCAAAGTAAAGACAAAATTCCCACAGTTGAGAAACATATGGAACTCAAAATAACTGTCAACCAACATCATAGTCATAATCTTCAATACGAACATCAAGACAGTTCTACTGTACGGAGCTGAGAATTGTAGATCTACTACAACTATCATCAACAAGGTAAAGACATTTATAAACAATTGTCTACACAATGTTAGTTGGCCGGATACCATCAGCAACAGCCTACGATGGTAGAGAACAAACCATCTTCCATTGGAAGAAGAAATTAAGAAAAGAGGTTGGGAGTGAATAGGACACACGTTGAATAAATCATCAAACTGCATCACAAGACAGACTATGTGTGCTTAGTAATATGCACATTTAGATTATGGTAGACTTTAACATTAACACAAATATTATTAAAGAAGAAAGATTGGTTCGACAAAGTGTTCTCTTTTTGGCGAGTTCGTTTTCATACTTGTACAATCGCGAATATATATATTTATTTTTCAAGATGATAACCATTAATAATAATTATCATCTTTAGAATTGGTTGTTCGAATCTTCCCATTGATGTTTTAGGACTGTAATTGATCAGTTTGTTATTGGAATACATGCATACTGTGTGGATTGCCTCGATTAGCAATGGAATCCAGGACGCGCGTTTCGTCCTATTCGGGGCTCTTCAGCTGTTGGCACCTCCATCCCAGCGTTGATATTCACCCCAAAACTCGAATCTAGTACCGTTCACTTCAAACACCATAGCATTATCCATTGTAATTGATCAGTCTCTTATTGACATATGTCCATCCTATACGGATTGCTTCCATATTACCTTGAGTATAAATATATATCAGGATGACTCTTGGAAAGTTTGCTTGCTGCTTCGAAAACTGGGTCCTAGGTGAACTAAATAGATATTGTAACTTAATTCTATCTCTCAACCCACATCATCAACCGCAAATGCGAATGCTTCCGGTTGATATCATTCAGAAGAATGATGAAATCAATCCCCAAATGCCCTGGTACGGCCGAAAGTGGGGGGAGTCCGCTCTCCTTCTCCAAATGCTCCTACATGGCCACGCGTATATAGCCTCTGCCACGGAAGTCCTACTCACTGCCTTCTGGCACCACGGGTGTTGTTTACAAAAATGAGAGGACGAAAAGTGAATGTCCGGCACTTTAAACGGATCGCAAACCAATGGTGCACATGGGCTCCAGTATCCTGCGGGAACAAACAGCGTATGAACCAATCGTTGGTCACGGGCTTCCATGGGACTGCATCTCCTTACGATGCTCCACTGCCTTGTGAGTCAGACCTTCGGGTCGAAGGCTCGGGGTATGGCCCCCTAAGAAAACCATCTGCTTCAGTCTGGGCGCCCGGGTAGTAGCACAGCCCGCACACAAATCAAGTGAGTTGTGTGGCGCATATGTATTTGGTGCCTCCTTGTACTAATATCTATGTGTTAAAATAAAAAAACTAACGATCAAACTATCCCAAGTTCATAGAATAAAACTTTATCATCATCAAAAAAAAAGGAAAACTTATTCACTTACTTTATTTCATTATTGATTATTATAGTATCATTATGATCATTTTGTATTGATTTTATTTCTTTTGAATATTGTTGATCATGATGATCCAAGAAGTAATTATCTTTGATAGTATTTAATAATAATAACGGACATGATTGATGTGATACATTTTTCTTGTAGTTTAGTATGTTACATTCATTATAATCAAGATTATTCTTCTTGTTGTTATTGTTCATGGAATGGTTCTTCTTCTTGTCGTCGTCTATGAGATTATTCTTTTCATTGTCCATAGAATTATTATCATTATTATTGTAAATGATGGATATAGACTTGGAACGAGTTAAGCGTTTTATTGGTTGGAAATTCACTTCAGATAATAATGGATTATTTTGAGATAATGAAATTGGTCTTGGCAATGGAGGTAAACTAAACGAAATCATTTGAGAGAGAGATGGAGAGAGGTAAAAAGTAAACGAAAACGTGGAAATGTTTATAGTTATATCACAAGATGACATTAGTTAAAGAGCCATTGAAAACAAAGAGTTAAGTTCTATATCATCGTTGTCTGAGGTATTTTATCAGTTCTCATAAACAACAGTCAGTCAGCTACAACGTAGGACCAAGCACATATATGCATCGGTCCAGGTTGCCATACCTCATTAGCACAGCAAGATCAACACCGGATTCATAGGAGTGGTTAGGTCAAAGGTGGTAATATATAGGAGAAAGATTGCATATAAGGATACAGTACAGGAAGAAAGAATTAGTTCATAGAAAGAAAGATATGAAGTGATTTTAATCTCTTAGTTTAAGGGAAGACAGAGAACGTATACACCGACGCCATTGTGATCCATTCTGAGCCATGTCACCAAGAGTCTCCAACCATTGGTTACGACAGTCACGCGGACCCCAACCAAGTAATCTGCATCTACCAACATGGCTCAGAGAAGTTAGTGACTTCAAGCACTGATGCCACGTTTTGATTTGACCACCCCTAATCTTCCTCCAACCGTGTCCAACACTAGTCAGCATTACGTGTCGTTGTGATCGGTGTTCAGGCATACGCAACACGTGCCCACACTGTAGAAGGGTTCTTCTGGAGTTGCCTGAAAAGGAAATTGAGTCAAAGGTGGTCTTAGTGACCCGAGAGCGTGACCGCAGTGCCCAAAGGACAACTGCTTAAGATCGGTCAAACACAACCTTTTTATGGGTAATTCTTGTGTTAGCTCCGTACTTGTTGAGACGTCACCGCCGGAGGCGAACATCCGGGGAATAAGGCGAGGTGTGCATTTTACGTTTGACCTTTTCGAACCCCACTCCTCCTTGTGAGAAGGCAGCATCGCTGTTATACTGGTTATCTTAGAGAAACAACTTACTGCCATCAAACCTCTGTACAGTCAGCAGTACGATATAGCCCTCAGACCTCGGGTTTGCTGCTTTTATTCTTACCGCTCTTGAACCAATCTGTCTGGCATGGTAGGATCTTGGGTGGAGATTGTTACAGCTAGTATAGCTCGGTTGTTTCATCACGATAGGCGAACCCGACCATCAAGTCAAGGTAGCAACAACGGTTGAGTCGAATCATAAACGACTCCAACAGAAATATAGCCTAAGACCTTTGGGCCTCGCTTTGACCGGAGTTACTCTCCAATAGTTTACATTTCTAGCTTGAACAATTATCCCATATGGAATAACCATCTTCCAATACTAACAGCCTCACTCTCAACATGGAGGAGCTCCACTGGTCACGGTTTCTCACCTGTACTTTGGGAATCGTTTATCAGAACTAGTCACTAATAGGCAAACTATCATTGTCGGTATAGGAGATTGGTGGAGATCATCGAATTTTATGATCAACATCACAGATTCACCCTTTATGATAGAATATATTTACATTAGTAGTGTTAAACAAATGTTACATTAAATAACCTTTTAATAAAATGTCACCTTGTCTAGTCCTCAGTTTTAATTAAGTTCTTCTAATTTCGCTTCACTGTAACGAATACACTAAATAACATGATATTTTAATACACTTTATATGATTTGGGACGGTCAACATGTGTCCATACACCCAACGTTCATAATAATGAAGTCCATGAACAATTCATACCTCAGTGATTACGAAAACTGATCCTCCTAGTAGGATTCCAAATCCTAACAACGAGTATTATGTTCAAAGATGTGACCTATGAACTATCACAAGTCATGATACACCTTTCGTAATAAGTTTCACATTAATTTACCATAAATTGAGTCAATCTTGGATGTGAATCCCACGTTCAGGATTGTGGATGATCACTGGTGTGAAGTCCCATTCCAGGACAAAACAGCCGTCCAGTGCTTCCAAGTTTTCAATGGTAGTTTAATATCAATCGATTCATAATCTCAATTATCAATCGATCGAGTTGATTTGAAATGCAATCGTTCGATCTACACAATAATTCAAGCCATTAAATTTAAAACTAAGTGTGAAAATTATTCGGTTGTGAACTGTTCACAACTGATTATCATTTCAATATTTAATATCTGGAAAGTAGGAGTTCTTATTAGTTGAATAGCTAGAGATATTTATCGTTATTCCAAAAAATGGATTGAACTCAGAAAAATATAGCATTAGATACCGGTTCAATAGTCTATAGGTTGTGTTCACCAGCGCGAGTAAAGGTATTGAGTTCGATCTCATATGATAAAATTATGGATGATCACTGTTGAAAGTTCCAATATTAAAACAAAACAGTCATCCAGTGCTTTCAGGTTTTCAATAATAGTATAGCTAATATCTGGTTAGCGTTTTTTTAGCGAGTTACTTTTCTACGGGATGGGGTCGCTAACTCCATGCCCAACCCTCCTCATTTGTCCGGGCTTGGGATCGGCAGTAGCCCCAGGGGAACTCCAGCGGAGTAACAGGCATAAGTAAGTAAAAAACAGGTTATATCATTTCATGATTTCAACTATTAAAAGTCATTTTTATTGATTATAAAAAATAAATCGATTTATTGAATGATCATTAAATAGACTTATTGATCTATCACACGATGACCTTAAATCATACAAAACAAAGAACAATAAGATTTCCAAACGAATAAAATATCTGAAGGTTTTTTGTGAATATTACAATAGTTTCAATGGTTGAGATCATGAGTTGATTGAAGCTGAGGAGTCCCACAATAGGACGAAATGGCCGTCCAGTGCTCTCAGGTTTTCTATAGTGGTCTAGCTTCAATGACTCATAATTTCAACTTTTGAAATAAAAATATCGTTTTAAAGTTGAATTCATTCGTCGACGTAAACTAGACCACCATTAAAAACCTGGAAGCACTAGATGTTGGCTATCAACTAAGTGTAATAGAAGTTACTATGTTGTCCTCATATACTAAATATATTATTTCCCATTTAACTTCTCTGCATAATCGAACTGCTTACCACGGTAAAAGTACGTTAAAAAGTTTTCAACTTTTGTAACACCGTTTATTCGTCACGATAGATGGTCAATCAGCATCGTGGATTGGTTGAAGTTATATATTAACACCGTTGGATGCAGGCCGAATGATCTAGAGATGAGGCGTTCGCAAGCAAGATCTAGTGTTCCAGGTTCAGGTCCCGCATACGGGGTCGTGGATGTATGCATGCTGATATACAATAAATTGGTAGACTTCAATTCAGTTCATTTCAACACTAATTCTAAATGCCCTAATACGGCTGAGAATAGGGAGAATCGGCTCTCCCTCTTCAAATGCTCTCATATGGCTACGCGTATACAGCCACCACCAGGGAAGTCCTACTCATCGCCTTTTCGCGCCGGGAGTGTTGGTTATGAAGTTGAGAAGACGAAAATTGAATGTCTGGTGCTTTAAACAGGTTAGTGGACATGGAGAGTCCACTTAGGGGAGTTGGCAAACCCTCATTCCAAATCAATGGTGCACATGGGCTGGCTCCAGGATCCTGAAGGAACAAATGCTTTATGAACCAATGGTTGGTCACTGTCTACCATGGGAATGCATCTCTTTACGTCGCTCCACTGTCTTGTAGATCAGACCTTTAATTGAAAGGCTCAGGGTGTGGCTCCTTAAGAAAACCATCTGCTTCAGTCTGGGCGCCCGGGTAGTATCATAGCCCACACACACAAATCAAGTGAGTTGTGTGGCGCATATGTATTCGGTGCCCCTTTGTACCAATATTTATGTGTTCAAATAAGAAGTGTAACAAAAATTCTAGATTCTACAGAATATACGTACATCAATTCAGACAAATCCCAAGTTAATCTTGAATATTAACAACGGAATAATTTGAACACCGTTAATAATGTAAGCATCATATCTATTGAACAAGTTAGTGATTATATGGACTCTATAGTTTAGTAAATAACATTTTGATGTTTGAATTAGAAAGTGTTTGGTCCGAGTCCCAATACGAATGTTAACATTGTGTGATATGTGTCCAACTGATGAGTTTTAAATGGGACAGAATTCATATTCTCGATCTCACTGATAGCTACAATTCATCTGCTCTAAATAACTGATAAATCTTCTGACTGAACATTTGAATCGGTTTCTTAAGCTCTTCTAATAACCTCAGGCTAACTTTACACGTCAACTTGAATACGAGAGAGCAATATGGAAAGAACGCTTTGTCCCATAGTTAGATCATGTACAGAAAATTTAGGGTATTTACAATATTTTAGATGGTCTCGAGCTTCCAGAAGGTTCTGGAACCTTACTAAACATAGTATCAAGGCAGGTGATCATCATCCAATTAGAAATTAAACATGTGACTTTGAGCTTTCTAGATGTTTCCGAGAGAGTTCTATCCAATGATGATTGTATAAAATGTTTCCTAGCGTTTTCAGGGCTCCTTTAGGCTTTTTTTCCGAGGAATTTTCCATGTCTCTTCAACAATAACCGATATTTTTAATGTACATAAAACCTTTTTTTAAAAAAAGTATATACTTACTTATTCTGACTATAACCAAATCGATTCCATCCAGAATTTGAAGATGAAGATGATGAAGACAATGATAATGATGGTGTATTTACACTAGCCTGATGCATAAGTCTGTTAGAAAACAACAAAATACATAATCAATATGTATAAAGGTTAGAATAAGCATTAATAATTATTGTGAATACATGATGAAAGCGATTATGTTAGATATACCTTTTGGTATTTACCTAGACATAATATATTTATTGTTCGTGTTAGATTATCACTTGAGAAGATGGAAAGGGAAAAGTAGCTAAGCTAATTGGAAATACATCTGGTTTACTTTGTATAGTATATGTAAAATTTCAGTATAATTGAATGATGTGTACTACCGATAAACTGAAAGAATTGATGATCGTTGAAAAATGCCGAAGACAGAGGCTGAGCTCAATGCTTGATTTAAACAGTAAAAAACTAAGCCGCGGTCAAACCAAACTGATAAATCCGAAATACGACGAAACGCGTTTCCTAGACTCGAACACAGGACCTATCAGTCTCGTAAGAGAACGCTTAACCTTTAGACAATTGAGCCAGCATCCAACGGTGTTAATGTCTAACTTCAAACAATCCACGAATTTGCGTCATCGTCCATCATTGTCTTTAGTGAGTTACTATCTCACAACAGACCCGTTTGAACTCACGGCTTCTCACTAGAACTCCAGGAAATAACTCTTGGAGAGTCACTGATCCTGCGTTCGTATATCGCGGGAGGGATCGTGGATGCACATACTAAGATGAAACGGCCGTCCAGTGCTTCCAGGTTAGCTGAAAAAGAATTAAAATTAAGGCCAGATGCTGGCGAGAAGGACCTTAAAGTTGTAAATTTTCGGGTCAATATGTTAAGCCTTCAGCCATGTCGATGCTTACACCTTTTTTACTTTGTATACATTATTCGTTCATCCTAAACTCAAGTACTACATACAGGCGGCTAGTCCCTGTCTAAAAAGAGGCAGCGAGTTATTGGAAAATGTTCGAAGAACCTTATTAAGCTGATTTTCGGAATAACAAAGCTCTCATGTGATAATCGACCAGCTAAACGAAACCTATTGCATTGTTATATAGAATAATCAGTGGCGACAAGTTCACAGTTTTTAAATTACTTAGTGATAAATTTGCATCTGATATGCCTTCATTCTTCTTGTCTTCCAAAACAGAGGATTTGCGAGGACACTCTAAAACGGTTCACAACCCTAAGACAAATTACTTGTCAGCTGACTATCGATTTTCTCTTCGAACCATTAACGAATCGAATTCATTATCTCAACACATAATTGAAGCTTTCAAAAGAGAGTTGAATCAACTGGGAGATCACCATATTACCAGGATTATCATAAACCATCCAGTTTCGTATCCTTTCCTCATTGGAACTTAAACTGTAACTACAGTCAGTCAGTCAGCTACAACGTAGGACCAGGCACATATGTGCATCGGTCCAGGTTGCCATACCTCATTAGCACAACAAGATGAACACCGGATTCATAGGAGTGGTTAGGTCAAAGGTTGCAATAAGGATATAGTATAGGAAGGAAGAATTAGTTCGTAGAAAGAAAGATATGAAGTGATTTTAATCTCTTAGTTTAAGGCAAGACAGGGAGTGTATACACCGACGCCATTGTGATCGATTCTGAGCCATGTCACCAAGAGTCTCCAACCATTGGTTACGATAGTCACGCGGACCCCAACCAAGTAGTCTGCATCTACCAACATGGCTCAGACTAGAAGTTAGTGACTTCAATCACTGATGCCACGTTTTGGTTTGGCCGCCCCTAACTTTCTTCCAACCATCCCCTACACCGGTTAGTATTGCACGTCGTGGTAATCGGTGTTCAGGCATACGTAATACGTGGCCCAACCATCTCAGTCGATGAAGATTCATAACCTCATCAACTGATTTACCATCATTCCCTAATACCCTGAGTCTAACCTCACTATTACTTACCCGGTGATCCCAGCAGACGCCAGCAATATTTCTAAGGCATCTGTGGTCAAATACTAGTAGCTTACGGGTGTCTTCTACTCTTAAAGGCCATGTTTCGCTGCCGTAAAGTAAGACAGAACGGACTGCCGCGCAGTAAACTCGTCCTTTAATTGATAGACGGATATCTCGCCTCCGCCAAAGGTGACGTAAGTTGGCAAAAGCCAAACGAGCTTTTCGAATCCGTGCTGAGATTTCGTCAGACACCAACCCATTATGGCTGATCAGACTTCCAAGATAAGTGAAGTTGTCGACGCGTTCGACTACTTCACTCCCTATCCTTAGTTCAGGTGTTGACGCAGACCAGTCCTGAAGCAACAACTTGCATTTAGAGGGAGAGAAGCGCATCCCAAACATTCTGGCATTGTTGCTTAGTGCTACCAGAAGACTCTGCATTTTGTCAGCGTCTTCACCAAACAGGACTATATCATCTGCGTATTCTAAGTCGATAAGTGGACCTCCTGGAAGGAGATCAATACCCGAGAATTCAGTCGACGAGAGTGTTATTTCCATCAATAGGTCTATGATGAAGTTAAATAGAAATGGAGAAAGTGGACAGCCTTGACGGACACCACTTGAAGTTGCAAAAGTAGATGACAGTTCGCCATAAGCCCTGACTCGACTAGTAGTGTTCGAGTAAAGAGCCTTCACAAGGTTTATGTACTTCTGAGGTACGCCTTTCAATGACAGACACTGCCACAGAGTCTCGCGGTCTACACATTCACTTGTTAAGATATTGATGTAAAATAAAAATCAAGGGTGATATTGGAAAATTGTAAAGAGTAGAACAAAGACAATAATGGGAAAGAAACATTATAAATAACTCTAGGGTACTCTATATCTATAGATGTATATGTATCTGTGCTTATGTTATACCGTTTTTAGTTATCGATTGATCCATACAGAGGATAACTAAACATCGATGATTATACAGCTATAACTCTAAATTAAATGACATTTATAAATAATCATTAAACACTCTCAAAGTTACATAAGAGATGAAACCATGGACGCATGCATACATTCATTCCTAGGTATGTGTACACACGGTCAATGTAAACAGATACACATACATACCTACCTATCTACATACAAACGTACATACAAACAAGAATAGACGAAACATAGTCTAGAAAAACACTTGAATGTAAACAGAGAAGGGAAAAATATTTATGTCTATTCTTCATATAGGTTTTTATTGTTTTCTGGTTTTTAGACAAAAAAAAAAAGAAAGAAAATAGGAATGTAAACCAACAAAATAATTTTCAGTGGGAGAAAACTAGGTTATTTGTCTGAAAATATTTGTTGTCGGTAACTATTAATGTTGTTAACACTAATAAGATGGAAAGAAGGATAACTAATTTGACTAGATTAGAGAATGGTATAATACTGATTCGAATTTATACAACTAATCACCGACTGCCCCGTTGTGTGATGTTTTATGGTGTAGGAGTAAGATGGAAGAAAGCTAAGGGCGGACAGACCAAAACATGGCACAAATCCATGAAGTCATTTGATAAGTGGACTGAGTCATTTAGGTAGGTAGGTGTAGACTACGTAGTTGGGATCCGCGAGATGATAAGCAACCGATGAATAGAGACCTGGAAAGTGACATGGCTCAAAGTCGTTTGCAATGGCGCAGGTGCATCCACTCTTTGTGTTCTCCCAAATTCTAATCTTCTGAATTCTTCATGTCCCCTATTGTTTCTCTTTCCGAATTTATTTCACTGGATTATACTACTTGAATAACATCTTCAAACCCTAATCTTTCTTATGACTGCTCATACATTTACTACCTCTACCACTATGGGATTTGAATTGACAACTGCATCTCTGTGTTAATGTGGTATGGCAACTCGAACTGATGTACGTACGTACGAAGTTCTATGTTGTTGCTGACTGACTGACTCATACGACTGGGTTTTAGTTACGTTACTCATTAAAAATAAGTAGTATAAGGGGTTATTACGGGGAGATGATTGAATTTTGTGGTTTATATTATGAAACGATTGTAGTTAGGGAACTGTTGGAACAACATAGTTTCATAGAGCTCAGATATTATCAGGGATAAAACTCTGGGCCTTTAGACTTCGAGTCCAGAGCTGGACATTCAGACCACTGTATTCAAAAATGTAAAGCACTGGACGTCAAGTTATTAGTGTGAAGGTTAAGCGCCGATCACGAGGCCTTTAAGTTACAAAGCTTAAAGTGAATCGAAAACACTAAAACATTTAGTTTGTTTAGGAATACAATAATTAACACTCAGATGAAGTTACATAACGGATGACATAGCAGACAAACACTTTCTATCTAAGTTGTATAAGCCTCACTTTTTTCCAACTAAGTTAAGAATTCCATTTTCAGAAAGGGTTTTGAGGAGATTTCAGTGATTTCAATAGTTGAACTCAAGAGTCAATTGAAGCTAGACCAACATGAAAAACCTGGAAGCACTAGACGGCCATTTTGTCCCAGTATGGTACTCCTCAGAAGTGCGCATTCACGACCCCGCCCCCCACGAGATTCCAACCCAGTATCTATCAGTCTTGCGCGCGAGCGCTTAACCATCAGACCATTTAGCCGTCATCCGACGGTGTTAATGTCCAACTTCAACCAATCCACGACTGATAGGTTCTGGATTCGAATCCCGCGGGGTGGGATAGTGGATGCGCATTGCTGAGGAGTCCAGAAATGGGACGAAACGGTCATCCAATGCTTCTAGGTTTTCCATGGTGCTCTAGCTTCAATTGACTCATGATTTTAACTATTGGGATCTCATTTTCTTATAGATACTTGATGCAAGGATATGTCAATTTTAAATTGGTAATTTACAATACATTAATGTGTATTTGACAGTTTACTTGAGTTTGTAAAGCGTATTTTGTAATAAAAAACATTATATCCACTCACTATCCAGAATGTAAATCAATCATAGATTCTGTTGTTGAATATCTAGTCAATTATGGTAATATATTCCCATCAAAATCTTCCTTCAGAATTATTCCCAAAGTCGAACAAACTAGTTCTAGGAAGAAATTGAACTATAAATTTTGTCCATAACATAGACATTGGGAATCACTAGTTCTAGCCTGATCGTTGGTATTCTGAGGTTATATGTCCAATCTTTTATTTGACTACGTTCTTAATACCATCTTAATTTGTACGTTGTTTATGATATGTGCTTATATCTTCTTTGTGTTGAAATCAAACATCGACTTAAGTCAAATAGTCACTGTAAAATTGGAAGCAGTGTATGGGCGTTTCATCCTGGTATGGAAATAATCGGCAGCGCTCAGCCACGGCCCATCATCCAGAAATTAATTTCAGGAGCTTAAGCCTGTTCCGTGAACCCTTAATACTTAGACTACCGGGACTGGCTCCAGTGTTTTACAAGTCTAACTTTAATCAATTCATGACATTACAAACCTTCATATATTGAATGAAGTGGGCTAGGTTTAAAAACATACCTGTAAATACGATTGAATAGATTTAACTAATATCATCTATTAAAAAATAATAGAGTTTTAACGATTCAAAATGTCTCCATTACTTATGTAATCATGGCTATTTTTACTATGAAAATTATCTGCAATTTTATGCTACAGTGTGGATGTTGTGAAAGCTGTTGAATATTAACTAAGCCGAAAAAATGACAAACAGTGAAAATATAGAAGTACTAAACAACTACTTCGTCCCAATAGGGGATTCTTCAATAGTATGCACCCAAAACTCCACCACTGGGGATTCAACCCAGGACGTCTGGTATGGGAGTGATCGTTCAACTCCCGAACCTCTGAACCGGCACTCAACAGTGTCCAGTTCCGAACTCAGTCAATCTGTGAGACAGTCCGACCACTTTTAACTGTTTTGTGATGGATACCTTTCTCATACCTGACACGGTTGATCCCCACTGATTACAACTTTTTATTTAATCGCCGGAAATTTAGTCTCAAAGCTAGTTACCAGTATATACTTTTGTATGATGGTTCAAACTGATTTCTAATGACTGTATTATAAACAGAAATTTAGTTAAATGGTTATTCCTAGTGTCTTTAGTCAGAATGTTGCAATAAAATCTATATTCAAAGTGTATACCTTATAAATAAACTTTTGAATTCTATAATATTGTGTTTTTTGTCTCCGACAGTTCCAAATCAATCAACGTTAAGGAATAAGGAAATATGACTTTGTGACCAATCATTTGCAAATATCTCAGTTCTACAAAAGTCTAAAGGCCTGAATAGTCCAATTATAACATATCAGGCTAAGAAAGTAAGTAATACAAGTTCGATTCCTACAGAAAGTATCAGTCCTGTCAGGATTTTAGGTAAGCCTTGATGAGAAATGGCAAGTGTGAAAAATCTTGTTTTGAGCAGGATTCCCTACAAACCTCAATTCAACCATTTAATGATAATTATCCAAAATAGTAGTGTCATTGAACTTTTTCAACCTACTTTACTCAACTTAAACACGTACACTATTACAATATTCTTTGATTTCACTGGTGCTAACGGTATTAATGTCTAACTTCAACCAATCCACGAACTTTCGCCACCGTACACCATTGTCTTCAGTGAGTTCCTATCTCACAACAGACCTGGTTGAACTCCACTGGTAACGACTTCTCACTAGAACTCCAGGTTCTGGGTTCGAATCCCACAGGGTGCGAGATCATGGATGTGCACTGCTGAGGAGTCCCATACCAGGATGAAACGGTCGTCCAGTGCTTCCAGGTTTTCCATGGTGGTCTAGTTTCAATTGACTCATGATTTCAACCAGTGAAATTTCTAAAAATCTCCACAAAACCCATTCTGATTCTTTGATTTCTGCAAGTGGAGACCATTTCACTTCAATACTGAAATAAACAAAGTCCTTAAGATAAATAGATTAATAGAATTTCAGAGAAAAACCAATGATAATGAAAACAATAAAAACAATCTAACCGTGTAAATTGTTCATGTACATATACTGCTTCTGTATGATCAGCTAATTGAAATATAATTTCACATTCACCAATTGGTGATGCACGACCAGTATAAATACGAAATTGACCATCTCTACGTGATACACATTGACGTACAAATCGATACTGGTTACGAAAACAAAAGATAGATATTGACTTTAATGAAAAGAAAATGAATAGCTTTATTGATGAAGCATTATTCTGTAAGCTGAACCGGTTTGATCATGTACTATTCATTGTTCTACTGAACTGATATGATGGAAAGAAAAGTCGATTTTCGATTGATTTACTCATTATGAGTTTTGTTCAAGATTACTTCCGTTTTGATTTAATGTAATGATTTTCTATTAGAGTCGTCGTCTTCGTGTTTTGGGTTAATAAATCATCACTTATATCAGTCTTTATATTCTTACTTTCGCATCGTGGGAATTGTAGAGGTCTCTCGTTCCGAGTATAAGTGATAAACGTTTCCGACATAACAATCAGCGACGACCAGATACAAAAAGTAGCATTAAAAGAGCCAAGACAATAAGCATTCAAACGACAAGTTATAACATGAACAAAGATCATCAGTACAAACTTCAAATGGAAGTGATTTATTTGAATTTCTCCATATATGATCGATAGTTTATTTTGTCAATCTTGATTATAACTGCGTAGTATTAATCTTTAACCTATTGTTGTCAATGTCAGGACAAACTGTCGGTTATCTGTGAAGAAATTTGAATACATCATTGTTACATCGGAAATTTGTACTGATGATGTTGTACAAAAGAAAAATGAATATTCAACGATTAAATCATTTTCGTCAAAGTATGAAGTTTCATCAAAATCATTCAACTGAGACATAAATCATCTCTATTACCGGAAGATTGATAGGTTTGAATCAAAAAAATATTGAAGCTACACCACCACAGAAAGCATGAAAGCACTGGACGGCCGTTTCGTCCTAGTATGGTACTCTTCAGCAGTGCACATTCACGGCCTCCCCCCCCGCGAGATTCGAACCCAGTACCTACAAGTCTTGCGCGCGAGCGGTTAACCATTAGACCATTGAGCTGGCATCCAACGGTGTTAATGCCTAACTTCAACTAATCCACGAGCCTTAGTGACACACCCATCAATGTCTCGGCGCGAAACTGATAGGTCTTGGGTTCGAGTCTCGCGAGGCAGTATGTGGATGCGCACTGCTAAGGAGTCCCACAATAGGACGAAACGGCCGTCCAGTGCTTCCAGGTTTTCCATGGTGGTCTAGCTTCAATTGAGTGATGATTTCAATCAGAGGAATTTCTAAAATCTTCACAAAACCCCTTTTGACATAAATATATTAGTATAAAGGTTCACCGAATACTTATGTACCGCACAAGTCCCTTGATTTGTGTGTTGTTTGTGATACTACTTGGGTGCTCAGACCAAACCACTTGGTTTTCTTAAGGAACCACACCCGGAACATTCGACCCAAAGGTCTGATCCACAAGGCAGTGGAGCAACGTTAGGAGATGCAGTCTCATGGTAGCTGGTGACCAATAATTGGTTCATACAGCATTCGTCCCCTCAGAATCCTGGATCCAGCCCATGTGTATCATTGATTTTGAGTGAGGGTTTTCCAACTCCTCTATGTGGATTTTCCAATTCCACCAGTCCGACAAAAGCGTCGGATATTTGCTTTCTGTCCTTTGAATTCCGTAAGCAACACTTGTGCCGCGCGAAGGCAGTGAGTAGGACTTCCCTGTCAGCGGCTATATACTCATGGCTATGTGAGAGCATTTGGAGAGAGAGAGCTAATTCTCCATACTGTCGGCCGTACCAGGGCGTTTGGAGTCATACAACTTCCGGAGTAGATGTTAGAAACGCTAATTATTTGGTTACTAAGTACTCTGAATTCATAGTTAATTTTTAGACGATTAAACATTTTACAATCATTATAACCTAAATAAATATGAAGGTTTGTTTTCATAATTTGATCACAGTAATTAAAGGGCATATTTATGATTACCCAAGGCAATATATACTAATATTGATAATAGTTTAAATGCTTATATACTGACATAAGAAAGGAACAAAGATGAATTGGATTTTAACTACTTTTAGGGCAAATGTTATTCAAGATTTATGAGTATATTTATGGGAAGTTATTGGCAAACTGTATTTCACTGGTGTGGAATAATATTCTCCTCCTTATCGATTAGTTAAGTTTTTAAAATATGCTAGTTTATAATAGACATTTGTTTATAAAATGTAAAACTTCTTTTCTTCATGATAATTCATTTAATTGAACTTAATAGCATAAGGGAAAAAATCAAGATCCTCAAATACAACACGGAGAACACAGACACAATCACACTTGATAAAGAAATTTTGGAAGAGGTGGAAACAATTTTACTTACCTGTTGAGCACCATCGATGAACAAGGAAGGTCTGATGTAGATGATAGGGTAAGGATTTTAAAAGCAGGGACAACATTCCTACAGTTGAAGAACATAAGGAACTCAAAATGGCTGTCAACCAACATCAAAGTCAGAACCTTCAATACGAACGTCAACACTATCCTACTGTACGGAACCGAAACTTGGAGAACTACAACAACCTTCATCAAAAAGGTACAAGTATTTCTTGATAATTTTCTATGTAAGATACTGAATGTCTGTTGACCATCAGCAACAACCTACTATGGGTGAGAACAAACTAAATTCTATTTGAAGAGGAAATTAGCAAAACACAATAGAAGTGGATAGAATACACATTGAAGAAATCATCAAACTGCATCACAAAGCAGGCATTAACTTGAAATCCTGAAGGGAAACGGAACAGAGAAAGACCAAGGAACACCGATTATTGAAAACAGACATGAAAAGGATGAATAGCAACTGGAAAAGATTGCCCAGAACAGAGTTGTATGGAGAATGCTGGTCTATGTTCCTCCATGAGGAGTAACAGGCTTAAGTGATTACGTAATAACAATTATTTACTCAATATATTAATCTCATGTTCTAGTTAAACCATAAATATTATGATAACCCAATTCATTTTAATGATTCAGATAAACTTGTTGTTGATATTTTGACTGCAATTTGATCAATCTTAGTTATCAAAATTGAATTCAGAGGCTAAATAAAAAAATCCATTCAGCGTTTAAAGTGAATACTATTGAATTCACGTATTACAGTCAGTATCAACTCCGGAATACATCCAGCTGATGAGTCTAGAAATTGGACGAAATATACCTCTTGTATTCTACTGATAATCACTATGGTAACTGATATGACAAACATGTAATGATTTCACCACATTCATAATAGTAATTAACAATTAAATTCAATAATTGTGTTTCGTCTAATTTCGAGGCTCGTCAGATACGTTTATGTTTAAATTTAATAGAAAATAAAATAATTAAACTTACTAAAATAATTAATTTCGGTATACGTAAATTTCCTTGAATTAAAAGTATTTCTGTACAAGTTAAACATAAGTAATGTGATCCATTATTGTTTGGAATTAAACAGGCACTTGTATAATCTTTTGGTTTAAAATGAACATTAACAGACCATGCAAACTCTATAATAAGTAGTAAATAGAAGAGAAAGGTAAATAAGACATTAATAAATGTTTAAATAAATTACAAAGTAGTTGAAAAATAGCCCTCCCCCTCCCACAACAAGTGGTAACTTATAGTACGTATGACATTAGATAGTCGGTCATTAAATGCCAGGTCCAAACAGATGCCTTAGAAATATTGCTGGCGTCTGTTGGGATCACCGGGTAAGTAATAGTGAAGTTAGACGTAAGGTATCAAGGAATGATAGTAAATTAGTTGATGAGGTTGTAAATCTTCATCGACTAAGACGGTTGGGCCACGTGTTACGTATGCCTGAACACCGATTACCACGACGTGCAATGCTATCCGGTGTTCGGGATGGTTAGAAGAAAGTTAGGGGCGGCCAAACCAAAACGTGGCATCAGTGATTGAAGTCACTAACTCCTAGTCTGAGCCATGTTGATAGATGCAGACTACTTGGTTGGGGTTCGCGTGACTATCGTAACCAATTGTTGGAGACTCTTGGTGACATGGCTCAGAATCGATCACAGTGGCGTCGGTGTATACACTCTCTATCTTCTCTTAAACTATGAGATTAAAACTGCTTCATATCTTTCTTTCTGTACTATATTCTTACATAAAATCTTTCTTTTATATATTACACCATTGGGTTAACTGCCTCTATGAATCCAGTGTTCGTCTTGTTGTGCGAATGAGGTATGGCAACTTGAACCGATGTATATATGTGCCTGGTCTCACGTTGTAACTGACTGATTGACCGAGGTTCAAACTTAAATCCAGCTTCATCGGATTTCGTAACCGCTTGGACTGTGATTCAACGTTTAAGGATCTCTTATCAATCTAACTACACTTGTGGAGTAAGTCATATAAGATGATATTTTAGAAATGCGTTTTTCTCGCTTTGTGATCTTTTACTATCGTATCCATGGAAAGGTCTAATTGAGATTGTCAATAGTTCTGTCTTAGTTCATCTAGTCCAAGATAACAATTCATTCTCAAAAACCTATCATATTTGGAGTAATTTGTTGGAAACCCTTTAAACAGTTGAAGATACAAGTTCAGACTTTTTTTCTTTGGCCAATCTAACGTTTAGTGATCTTGTCTACTATGAAAATGACTCAATATGCGTTATATTCATAAATCATCCTCCTCTACATTTTTAAAACTTTACTTTATCAGAAATAGATTTTAGCTAGCAGTAGGATTAAAAATACTGATTTCTTCCTATCAAGGGCCTGTCGTTTGGAGGTTTATTCACTCTAGTACTGATTCCCACATTGGGGGGACTTGAGTTATAGCTATCTAGACTTTATGACACAGTGGATAAGTCACTGGCTTTTGAAAAGAAAGAATTGGATTCCATTCTTAGTGTGTACATAATCATTAAGTTACAAGTAAATCTAATTGATATGTCCCAAATAGAAAAAAGTGTTTGTCTCTAATCTCATTGTTAGCCCCACCTTATAGGATCCATATATATCAGCAAATACTGGTTAAAATTCAGTTCTAGATATCATCAGGGGAATGATATGAAAACGGTTACTAACAATTATATAAACGACGTTACTTATATAATTTAATTATTTTATCCTTGTACTTCTGAACAATTTATTTGCTGAATTCATGACTCAGTTAAAGCTAGACCACCATGGAAGCACTGAATAACCGTTTCGTCTTATTGTGGGACTCCCCAACAGTGCTCATCCAGGGACCCGCTCCGCGGGACTCGAACTCAGGACCTATCAGTCCCGCGCGCGAACGCTTAACCTCTAAACCACTGAGCCGGCATCCAACAGTGTTAACGTCTAGCTTCAACTAATTCACGAAATTGAGCGACGCACTCATTATTGTTTTCAGTGAGTTACTATCTCACAACAGACCAGATTGAATTCCACTGGTCACGTCTTCTCACTAGAACTCCAGGAAATACTTCTTGAATTCAGTCACTAGTGAGTATATGTTGATTAGTGTCATAAGGAGTTTTGTGTATATTATAGTAATTTTAATAGTTTAGATCATGAGTCAATTAAAGCTGAACCACATAACATTGATCACTATTTAATGATCAGTCATTTGTAAGTATCTCAGTTTTACATGAGATCAATTGTAGACAAAATAGCTCAACCATAATCCCTTAGACCATGAAGCTGAATTATGTATATTAGAAACTAACAGGGACCACTCATTCCATCAAAATTACTAGTATGCCACTTTAATATGTGTCACATAATCTATGTTTGGTAATATTTTCCTAGCGATTATCTCCAACCAATAATCATCAAACATATAATTCATCATATAACTGAATAATTTGTCCAGATGACTGACTATATTTCAACTAGATCAATTGAATTCCATTACAATTAAGAATTAAACACAAATATGATATCAGTGATCAATCAATGTACTATGATAATATCCATTGGTAAGTGAACATAAACTAAAATATGTAATAAGAAATGTAAAACTACTTCATTAAAAATGATCAATCTAATTATGATAAACGTCAATAAACGTCAATTTTATGCCAAAATGAACTATGGTAGTTCAACCCTGTCAAGTTTGTATAGTAAAAACCCATAGGTGTGTGTGTGTGTGTGTGTGTGTAGGTATAGATGTAGGTGTATATGCATCACCTAACCATATATACTTGATTAAGACTTGTATTGATATGGTCATATTCTATTCTGTCGTATATTTGTTTACATTCTATTCATTTGTCTCATAGTTTACATCATATTATATAGGAATAGAGATTGACTATATTAAATAGTTTATTTCATTAAACTAATAATAAATTACATTGTGTCTAGACAGAACATAATATATACATTATTCAGTGAGAGGTCATACGAGAGAGAAAAATAAAAAAAAGAAAACAGAATAAAGAACAAAACAAAAACAAGTGAAACTTGAATAGAAGAAGAATAAAAGATAGAATGACAAGATAGAAGAAAACTCAGTAGCATTATTATTACATATATTTGTATTGTAATCAGAGAAGGGTTTTGTAGATATTATAGTCGTTGAATTCATGAGTCAATTGAAGGTAAGACCATCATAGAAAACCTGGAAACACTGGACGGCCGTTTTGTCCTACTGTGGGACTCCTTCAACAGTGCGCATTCACGATCCTGGGTCTTTTGTGAGATAGTAACTCACTGACAATGACAACGGTGGATAGTGGTGCAATTTTGTAGATTGGTTAAAGTTAGATATTAACACCGTTGGATGCCGGTCGACTCAGTGGTCTAGAGGTAAAGCACTAGCATGCAAGACTGATAGGTCTTGGGTTAGAATCTCGCGGGGCGGGATAGTGAATGCGCATTGGTGAGGAGTCCCGCAATAGGACGAAACATCCGTCCAGTGTTTCTAGGTTTTTCATGTGGTCTAGCTGCAATTGACTCATTAATTCAACTGATATATTTGTATGTATATAAGTTCTAACGATATTTAACGTCCACTACCAAGTGACATTATATACTATCTCACATATCAATAGATGAAGATAACCATAGATATAAATTCGATTGAAAAAAATGTCAATATTTTTTATGGATAAAATTCCAAGGATCTCACAGAATTTCTAAAAGTATGAGATTCAAACCAACTATCAGTGAATAGACACACTGACAATGACCCAGTCTATGAACCTATACTGGAGAGGTCAATCAATCACATGATCAGAGGTCAACCTGTAAAGATAGTCAAAATGAATGTAAAAGCAAATGAAGATAGCGGGAACCTATGAAAACCGCCGATCATAAAAAATGCCATCTGAATAAACCAATGTAAGACTTATGGAACAACTAGAAAGGTCACTTCTACATGAAGTAGAGGCTGAAGATGCAGTCCAAGATGACAATAAAAACTATGATTCAATCATCTAGTATAGTGAATTCAGTACTGTCAATATATATATATATATAATCTTGGTCTTGTATGATGAATTGTATGACGAATAAAGTTTTTACAAACTCAACTTAATCCCACAATAGTATAGCTATAATTGATTGATTGTATGACTGTTAAGGAGATAATTTTAATTATAGTTAGTTGATCAATGTCATCTTTGTTTAGTTCTTGGTAGCTATCAATTTCTATCGATCATGTTGAGCGTTATTTTGAATGAATTCAGATCAAATGCATTTTCATGACATGTTTGTAGGTTGAAGGAAGTTGTCATGGTGACAAAGGTTCAAATTCTATATGGAGCACTAGTGCTTTGAAGATTACAGATACCCCTTGTTAATGAGTGCTAAATAAAAATGGAACCAAGAGAAAGCAGAATATCTTGTCAACTGTCAGTTGATAATACTTTATCAAATAAACTTTGATTTTCGCTTTAACGATTTATAGCTGAAAAGTCAATGAAAACCGGATGTAACCATTACAGGTGGACTACTTTGTCTTCCGATTAAACCTTGAGTAATGCATAGCGAACGCTTGATATACTGACCTCGACAAACGTTCATACTTGAATATTGGGAACAATTAGAAGGCGCAAATATGAAAGTAATTTTAACTAAATAACTGGTTTGTATATTGAAACTAAGACTTATCTAAATGGTTACTGTCGACCCTTGATTTCTATAAGTTTTTGAGAATGAGTCAATTCGTGAACTTGTCTCCATGGTGTTACCAATTACTCTGCCTGATTAAAAAAATTTCAGCTTCTAGGGAGTTCAGTAAAACCCATAAAACGGTCTAAACTGGACTAGAGTACCTGGAAGAATTCTAGCTATTCATGAAATAAATTTATAAAAGTACAGCTAATTTTTATCTAATTAAATAAGGATTATAAACAAAAATAGATGGTGACTAGTAGTTGTATCCCGGACGTGCATTTCGTCCCATTTAGTACTCGTCAGTTGGATGTACCTGCATCCTAGAGTTCATGTTCACTCCATCCATTTTTGCTTATGCTTGTGACTTAAGGCAATATCGAGGCAATATTCACAGGATGCACATATGTTAATAAGTGACTGATCAACTGCAATTCTATATATTAATGACAAGATCCAAACAAACAATACAAAATGAATCAAATTAGGAGTTATAAACGGGATTAGTTTCTAATTAGAAACCAAATGAATATATATTTAACATTTGTATATAATACTTTAGCATGATGATTGGAATCGATTTCGACTCTTTGAGGTTTTCAGTTATTGATCAAGTTTATCGGGTGGATCCTTCAACTGGATAATGTGCACGTTCTCATACACAGTTTAATTAAACAACCAATGTATTATCAGTATAGGGTTGTAGAGATTATTAAGTTTTTAATTGAGACCATGAACCGATTGATGTTAGACCACCATTGAAAACCTGGAAGCACTGGACGACTGTTTCGTCCTACTGTGGAACTTCCCAGTGACTAGCAGAGCTGATCCTTTTCGGGACAGGTATCTACCTCAGTATAATGGAAGATGGTCGCTCAATTTCTTGGATTGGTTGAGGTTAGCCATTAACACCGTTGGATGCTGGCTCAGTAGTATAGAGTTTAGGCGTTCTCGCGCGAGACTGAAGGTCCTGAGTTCGAATCCCACGGGCGGGATCGTGGATGTGCACTGCTGAGGAGTCGCACAACGGGAAAAAATGGCCGTACAGTGCTTCCAGGTCTTCATGATGGTTTAACATCAATCGGTTCGTGATCTCAATAAAAAAACCAATGTATTCACCAATTACTTCCATGCCGAAGGAAGAATATATCCATTATAATTCAGTCTCATTGTCAGTAATATTTAATAAACAATGGACAATTAAGAAGAACAGCGATTATGTATTCCAATAAGGCTTGTAATTTCCTTTTGTTTATATTTAGGACAGTAATTGATAAGAATTGTTTCCATACATCCATTCTGAATCGATGCCTCACTATCATATTCTCTTAAGTTCAGAACACCAATCTCAGGCTCTGCAATATGAATCATTTATTTCAAACATACTAGGTTTATATAAAAACTAAACAGACCACATCATACCATAAAATAGGGAATAACATTTGTACAAGATTTAACCAAATGTAGCTGTGAATAAGGGAGATAGTAATTGATTGACAAGGCATAACTCAAGAATGGTAAGTCATATAATAATAGGTCAAAATGAAGCTTATAATAAGAGGAATATGAATATGCATAGTTTAGTTACTTAACAATTATACGATAAAAATATACGTATACTAATAGTCCAGAAAAATCTCCACTTAGAGCCCCTCTGGGGCTACTGTCAGTTCCAAGCGCGGACAAAGGAGGAGGGTTGGGCATGGGGTTAGCCATCCCATCCCGTAGAAAACTAATTCGCTAAATAAACGCTAACCAGAAAAAATAATTCAAACCATTTAAACTCTGTCCTGAGAGTTAGGTCTTCATTTATAAGAGTTATGACGCTTAAAGCCGAGTTCCTTCGAAAGTCATGAGGCTGATGCCTCATCTGATAACCAGAACAACCATTAATTTAGATACACGAAATGGTCGTATAATGTGGGAGTCACTTTGAGCTATTCTGCTTTCTTCTTCTGAACTGAACACAAAGAATATACATATTTTATTTGCTTAACAATTACACAATAAAAGAATATATGTGTAGTATTAATCCATAAACAGATCCCGATAGTTACCATTCATTATTCTCATCGGGATATAACACTATACTGAATATGAATGTTTGGTTGTTTTTCAACAACAAGAACAACAACGAAAGTATTTAACTAATTGTTATGTCCCAAAAAGCATAGTGAATGGTAACTTTGGGATCCATTTATGGACAAATACTATATGTATATTTTTACTGTATAATTGTTCAATAACTAAAGTATTCATATTCACATTCCTCTTATTATAAACTTTGTTTTGACCTATGAACCATTATTATACGTTTTACCTTTCTTGAATTATGCCCTGTCTATTAGTCACTGCCTCCCACATTCACAGCCGCACCTGGCCAAATCTTGTACAAATTGTCTTTTCTATTTAATGATACGTTGTGATTTGTTTGATTGGTATATAAACTCAGTATATTTGAAATATAGTATGATTCATATCGCAGAGGCTCGAATCGGTGTTCTGAACTTAATTGACTGGGTTAAGTGGAAAGCAGGGTCAATCAAGACTCTAAACTGCTTGCACGCGTTTCACGCGTCATTGATCCGATCGATAATTCACTGTTTTCTAATCGGTGGTCACAAGTTATAACACCAATTCACATTAAAAGAAACCAAAAAGAAAAAGAGAAAGCGGGGGATAGAGACCAACTTACCAATATCTGGATAAGCATTCATTTGTTTATTCATAGTAATAATTTTATTTAATGATGCTAAGCATAAATTTCTTTCATGTATTGTATTAAATTCAAATATAAAGTGTTTTCCTGATTCCAGAAATAAACCAAGTAGAATATTCGATGTATCATTGACAAAATTATTATTATTATTATTATTATTATCATTATTATTATTATTATTATTATTATTAGTAGTAGTAGTAGTAGTAGTAGTAGTATATTTAGGTTGATTCTTTGTACACATTTGTTGACTTGTATTTAACTCATTAGATATACATAAATTAGAAATCATAGATACAGTTGAATCAATTGGTTGTGAATTAGAATGAATTAATTTACATGATTTGCTTTTGTAGGATTTTTTAAATGACTAGTAGTATATACATATTTTTTTAAAAGAAAAAGAATAATAAGACAAATTAGTAAAAAGAATAATGAACTATTAGTTTAATGAAAATTTAATATGGGTAAGAAAGTTTTATTCGATCAGTTAAGTTTGGATTCAGAAAACTTGCTTAGATTTGTCGATACATCCATCATTGTGTTGAATGAGTGACTATCTCACAACAGATCCGATTGAATTCCATTGGTCACGTCTTCTCACTAGAACTCCAGCAAATACTTCTTGAATTCAGTCACTAGTGAGCATATGTTGATTACTATCAGAAGTGGTTTTCTGGATATTATAGTAAATTCAATAGTTTAGATCATGAGTAAATTGAAGTTGAAGAGTCTTACAATAGGACGAAACGGCCATCCAGGATTTCCAGGGTGATCTAGCTTCATTTGACTCATGATCTCAACTATCAACAATTACTATAATATCCACAATAGATAACACTTCAAAAATAGTTTATTTTCGTTAATTCGATAATACACCTCAAAACCCAACATATAGATCTATATGACATAATAGATGGGATAAATTTACATTCTTTTATTTAAACATATAAACATTGGTACAAGGAAGTACCAAACAGATATGCGCCACATAAATCATTCGATTTGTGTGAGGGCTGAGATACTACTCGGGTATGCAAACCAAAGTAGGTGGCTTTCTAAAGGGGCTATACCCTGAGTCGTTGATCTAAAAGTCTAATCCGCAGGGCAGTGGAGCAACGTCAAGAGATGCAGTTCCATGGTTTCCTTAGAGTTTTGGAGCCAGCCTATGTATACTATTGGTTTGGAATGAGAATTTTTCAACTCCCCTAGGTGGATCCTTCATATCCACTAATTCAATTAAAGTGTTGGACATTCGCTTATGATCCGTTCAATTTCGTAAACAATGCCCCAGTGGAGAGAAAGTAATGAATAGAAATTCGCTGTCAGTGGTTGTATATATGTGACTATCTAAGAGCATGTCGAAAGGGAGAGCTAACTCTCACTCTCTCTCTCTCTCTACTCTCAGCCATGCCAGAGTATTTGGGGGAGAAAGGGATAAATAATTCATTTAACATTTTTTCAAAGACAAAACACAAGTAGTTTTCATAACTTACTGATGAATAATTATTTACAGAATGACAAGATGATCCTGTTGATAATGATAATGAATGATGAATAGAATTCATTGATTTTTTTGAATAATTATGTAACCATTTGAATTTTGTTTTAGATAATTTAAATGATAAATGATAATTTGATTTATTATTTCTATATAATATTGTTGCATAAAATAAATCATTTAATGATTCAATAATTGAATTCGTTTTTTGTTTTATAGAATCATTATCATTTAAATAATCATTAATTAAATTCAATGAAGTAGTATTAGTAGTAGTAGTAGTACTGGTGTTAGTATTAGTAGTATTACTATTACTATTAATAGGAGTATTAGTGTTAGTATTGGCAGTAGTAGTAGTAGTAGTAGTGTTAGTATTAGTAGTATTAGTATTACTATTACTACTAATAGTAGTGTTAGTATTAGTAATGGTATTAGTGTTAGTATTGGCAGTAGTAGTAGTAGTAGTAGTATTAGTGTTAGTATTGGCAGTAGTAGTAGTATTAGTGTTAGTAGTCCTAGTATTAGTATGAGTAGTATTAGTAGTAGTATTGGATGGTATATTCGTTGATCTTGTTGTTGTTGTTGGTCCTGTTGAATCTATTCCAATTTGATTAGTTTGTTTATTTTCATTAAATTGATGTAATAAAAATTTTTGAATAATCCAATTAGTAGTATTCGAATTAAATTTAGATTTCCATTTAGATTTAGATTGATAAATAATTAAATATGAATTTTTATCATTGAATTGAGTTATAATTTCTATATATTGTGGATGATGAGTCTATTCAGAAATTCAAGTAAATAATTGAATAAGATATAATGTGATATAATTAAAGTAAATAATACTTTTTTATAAATAGTTTGATTTATGAGAATTTAATTTAAGTCAGTCGGTCAACAGCCTCCAAATGCCCTGGTACGGTCGAGAGTGGGGAGAGTCCGCTATCCCTCTCCAAATGCTCTCATATGGCCACGTGTATATAGCCTCTGCCAGGGAAGTCCTACTCACTGCCTTCTCGTGGCGGGGGTGTTGTTTACGAAAATGAGAGGACGAAAAGTGAATTTCCGGCGCTTTAACCGGACCCCAAACCAAATCCATGGTGCACATGGGCTCCAGAATCCTGCGGGAACAAATGGCGTATGAACCTATTGTTGGTCACCGGCTTCCATGGGACTGCATCTCCTTACGATGCTCCACTGCCTTGTGGGTCAGACCTTTAGGTCAAAGGCTCGGCGTGTGGCCCCCTAAGAAAACCACCTGCTTAGGTTTGAGCACCCGGGCAGTATCGCAGCCCTCACACATATCGAATGAGATTTGTGTGGCGCATATGTATTCGGTGCCTCCTTGTACCAATATCTATGTGTCAAAAATAATGAAATAATAATAAGTCAGTCAACAACGTAGAACATTATACGTATGTACATCAGTTCAACTCCACCTGTAACTTTTACAAAGTTATTGCCAGTTCTAAACCCGAGTAAACGAGGAGAGTTCTAACTCGCTAAAAAAACGCGCTAATATCAGTTCTAGTTGTCATACTACATTTTCACAGAAATGCAATTATCGATCCAAATCCCATTGTGGTAAAGACAGTAAGAGTATAAGCAGTAAACGAGAATATTTAGGTTTGAGTCGATTTAAACTAGATCATCATTGATAATCCAAATGTACTAATGAAAACATTACAATACTCTTCACAAATTCATATACTGATAATAATTATGTATTTACTAGTGACTAATTTGAAGATGAATTTCCAAGAGTTCTAATGAAAAGCCATGATTAGTGAAAATCAGTCAGTGTCAGATGTGAGACAATTATCTACTTCAGACAGTGGATGAAAGGTTGCGCAAAGTCATGGAACCATTGATCGTAGACATTAACGTTAATATTAACTTGGTGGATTCTCAGTCAGCCAGTCAGCTACAACGTAGGACAAGGCACAAATATACGTCAGTCCAAGATGCCACACATCATTAACACAACGAGATGGACACCAGATTCATAAAAGTAGTTAATTCAGAGGTGGTAATATATAAAAGAAAGATTGCAATAAGGATATAGTATAGGAAGAAAGAATTAGTTCATAGAAAGAAAGATATGAAGCAATTTTAATCTCATAGTTTAAGGGAAGATAGAGAGTGTATACACCGACGCCATTGTGATCGATTCTGAGCCATGTCACCAAGAGTCTCCAACAATTGGTTACCAACCAAGTAGACTGCATCTACCAACATGGCTCACACTACAAGTTATTGACTTCAAGCACTGATGCCACGTTTTGGTTTGGCCGCCCCTAACTTTCTTCCAACCATCACGAACGCCGGTTAGCATTGCACATCGTGGTAATCAGTGTTCGGGCATACGTAACACGTGGCCCAACCATCTCAGTCGATGAAGATTCACAACCTCTTTAATTGATTTACCATCATTCCCTAATACCCTGAGTCTAACCTCACTATTACTTACCCGGTGATCCCAGCAGACGCCAGCAATATTTCTGAGGCATCTGTGGTCAAATACTAGTAGCTTACGAGTGTCTTCTACTCTTAGTGGCCATGTTTCGCTGCCGTGAATTAAAACAGAACGGACTGCCACGCAGTATACTCGTCCTTTTGTTGATAGACGGATATCTCGTATTCGCCATAGATGACGTAAGTTGGCAAAAGCCAAACGAGCTTTTCGAATCCGTGCTGAGATTCCGTCAGGCACCAACCCATTATGGCTGATCAGACTTCCAAGATAATTGAAGTTGTCAACGCATTCGACTACTTCACTCCCTATCCTTAGTTCAGGTGTTGATGCAGACCAGTCCTGAAGCAACAACTTGCATTTAGAGGGAGAGAAGAAATGCAATGTAACTGTTTTCAATAACTTTATCATTAAACTCTACAATTATACAGTACATTCAGCCTCTGTGTTTTACTTTAATCAACAATGGGATCACTATATACCTAAACTAGACATTTTAAACTATAAACCCCCAATCCCTTTCATGTCTATTACTGACCTTTCTCAAGCCATAGTAACTGATTATAATCAGCTGGACAATACCTCTCTTTTTACATATTATATTCATACAGCATTATTATTATTATTAGCTGCGTTCACCATATGAAATTTATTCTACTTGTTATATCCTAATGAAGATTAAACTATGGGTGACTTCTGAGAACTATTTATAGACTAATATTATACGTATCTTCTTATTGTATAACTATTCAGTAACTAGATTATGTGTATCTGCATTCCTTTTATAATAAGCTTCATTTTGACCTATAGATTATTATTATACGATATGCTGTTCTTAAGATATGTTCAGTTTATTGATTACAGTCTCCCATGGTCACAGTCACTTTTTGGCTCGATCTTGTACGAATATTATTTCCTATTTTATGTTGTAATGTGGTTGGTCCTTTTGACTTGTATATAAACTAGGTATGTTTGAAATAAATGATTTGCATAATGGAAGCTGGTATTGGTGTTCCAAACTCAACTGACGCGGCTAAGAGGACAAAGGACCAATAAGGAAGCTAGGCTGCTCATACTGGTTGATAGATACTTCATTGGTTTGGCATAGTGCTATGATTGTTTAAGTTATACTCCGATTGGCAAATAAACCACGTGATAATAAACTAGGTTGGAACATAGAGTTGCTAGGCTTTGAGGAATATCTTAGATTTACGGTAAAGAGTAGAATCCAACCATGACGTGTGTAAGACTTGATATCACTAATTGAAATGGATAATGGTGGGGCAGCATCCTTAGCTAACTGATTTTCAAAATGTTTGCTATTGGGCACTTGTTATGTCTGTGACCGTCAATAAGTGAGCAGTGACTCATCGATCGGATCAGTGACGCGTAAACCCGTATGAACAGCCTAGAGTCCAGATCACCAATCCGAGCCCTTGCGATATGAATCATACTATATTTCAAATATACTGAGTTTACATACCAATCAAACAGACCACAGCGTACCATTAAATAGAAAACAACGCTTGTACAAGATTTGGCCAAATGTGGCTGTGAATGTGGGAGGCAGTGACTAATAGACGGCATAATTCAGGAATGGTGAAACGTATAATAATGGTTCATAGGTCAAAATAAAGTTTATAATAAGAGGAATATGAATATGCATAGTTTAGTTACTTAATATTTATACAGTAGAAATATACATATAGTATTGGTCCATAAATGGATCCTCAAGTTACCATTCACTATGCTTTTTGGGACATAACAGTACTAATTCAATGGGTTGACAGTGAAGCGCTCACTGATAGATCTGAAAATCGCAATTTCGTAGATGAAAAGTGATAAATAGTCCGATATTCATAGACTAAATAATGGTCCAGTACTTATTGGTTTTCATTAATAAACTAGCTCAAGCCTTCAATTGTATAAGTGTATTTCTACCTGTCAATTGAAGAACCTAAGCACAGTTATCGGTCTCACAGTCAGCTTTTCACCTACTACCGTTTGAGCAACCCGATGATATTATCGGCCCTCACACTTAGAGTTTAGCTCATAACCATGTATCTAGTGAACGAAGTGGTTTTGATTTCTCATTAAAGCTGAAGTCAGTCCATAATGAAAACTGTATTTAATATAGGATTTGGTGATGATTAGAAAAAAATAATAGAATATATCTCATTCCATTGAATGCTATTTGCGTAGACTAAATATACCTTCATTTATAAATTACTTTCCAAAAATTAACTACCAAAAGATCCCTTGATTTAAGTGCATGACATATATCTATTGTGTACAAAGTTTGACAGAACTCATTTAAGGTAACTTCACTAACTTTAGTGACGGGATTATAATTTATGAACGAAACAGTCAAGATGAGATTTTAACTTGGATTTTCGCTCAAAATTCATTCATTTATATAGTTAAATAACATAGAATTATAGCTGATATCAGGTCTTGGTGAAAACTGTAATTTCAATTCCTAATCCAAACTTCTAATTTAAGTCCTAATCCTAATTCCTCACATTAATTTACAACTCTATTTCAAACCTCGTAAATGGCTGAAATTGCTGAAGGCTACTTTAGTTACCAGTATGGGGTAGTGGAGATTATTAAGTTTTTGATTGATATCGTAAATCGATTGATGTTAGACTGCCATGGTAAACCTGTAAGCACTGAACGGCCGCTTCGTCCCAGTATCAGACTCATCACCAGTAGGCATCCACCTCCTTCCAGGAGGTCCACTTATCAAATTAGAATACGCGGATGACATAAACCTGTTTGGTGAAGACGCTGATAAAATGCAGAGTCTTTTGGTAGCACTAAGCAACAATGCCAGAATGTTTGGAATGCGCTTCTCTTCCTCTAAATGCAAGTTGTTGCTTCAGGACTGGTCTGCATCAACACCTGAACTAAGGATAGGGAGTGAAGTAGTCGAATGCGTTGACAACTTCAATTATCTTGGAAGTCTGATCAGCCATAATGGGTTGGTGCCTGACGGAATCTCAGCACGGATTCGAAAAGCTCGTTTGGCTTTTGCCAACTTACGTCATCTATGGCGAATACGAGATATCCGTCTATCAACAAAAGGACGAGTATACTGCGTGGCAGTCCGTTCTGTTTTAATTCACGGCAGCGAAACATGACCAATAAGAGTAGAAGACACCCGTAAACTACAAGTATTTGACCACAGATGCCTCAGAAATATTGCTGGCGTCTGCTGGGATCACCGGGTAAGTAATAGTGAGGTTAGACTCAGGGTATTAGGGAATGATGGTAAATCAATTAAAGAGGTTGTGAATCTTCATCGA